ATCGAGCCGGAAAGTAGTCGCTCGGCGTATGCAAGGATTAGGTTTTGATTCTTCTTGTTGTTTCTTCGTTGATGCAGTTGAGGCATCCGGAGGTTTAGTTGTTGCTTGGTCCCCCGAAGTTCATGCTTCGGTGTTTTTTCATTCCAATTTTTGTATTTGCATTCAAATAAATGAGAATGAGTTCTCCTATATTGTGATTTTCGTTTATATTAGTTGCAATATTTTGCTGAGAAATACTCAATTAGCTCAGTTGCGCGATATTTGTGATGGTTGCCGTCTTCCCTATGTTATTTTGGGGGATTTCAACACTACCCTGTGTGCGGGGGAAAAGGATGGTGGTTTGCCTTGGAATTCGAGACAATCTGTTGGCCTCAGGGATCTTATTTAGGACCTTGGTCTTCATGATCCGGGGTATCAGGGTGATCAATTTACTTGGTCAAACAGACGGATGGGTAATGCTTGTATTCGCGAACGTCTGGATCGTGCTCTTTGCTCCCAAACTTGGATCGACCAGTTCCCTGATACATTGGTCAAACATTTCACGGATCAGGGATCGGATCATCGGGCCATCCTCCTAGCAGATAAAGCCTATGTGCGTAGTAGTCGTCCTCTGTTTCGTTTTGATGCCCGCTGGGCGGATAACCCGGAAGTTCGAGCCATGGTAACTTATGTTTGGCAGGAAGAAATACAAGGAACCCCGATGTTTTGTCTTTGGGAGCGTCTCAAAAAGCTCCGCCATCTCTTATATGATTGGAGTAGAGCGGGGACTACCAATTCACTGCGGAATATAAGGACTCTCCAGACTGAGATTGAACAGATTAAGTCTACCCATCCTATTGACTGGGATTTGATAAGAAATCTGGAGTTTGAACTGAACAGGCAATGGGAGGCCGAGGAAATCTATTGGCAGCAAAAATCTCGAGTCCGTTGGTTGAAGAAGGGGGATCAAAATTCTGCCTACTTCCATACAGTTACCCGGACTCGGAGGAAGAAGAACTTTGTTGCTGGCCTCCATCATGATAATGGTGATTGGGTCACTGGGGAACCCGGGAAAGCAGATATTGCTGTTAACTTTTACCAGAAGCTCTTCACTTCTGAGTCTCAAGTCACGAATATGGATGATAGGGTGGCATCCCTGCCTATTCCTCCCAGTGTTACTCCAGCCATGAATGCGGCCTTGACTGCTGAGGTCCATCAGAATGAAATTCGGCGGACGGTGTTTTCGATGGGATCAAAACAAGCTCCGGGATCGGACGGATTTACTGGAAAATTCTTTAAAGCCTACTGGGACATAGTGGGAGAATCAGTGACGGAGGCTGTCTGCTCATTCTTCAGAACGAGCCGGATGCTCAAGAGTTTTAATCATACCTGGCTCACTCTGATTCCTAAAGTGGATAACGTTGAGAACATGAGGCAGTTGCGGCCAATCAGTCTGTGCCAATTCGTCTATAAAATTATAACCAAAATCATGTCCGAGCGGCTTGCTACGATCCTCCCGGTTATCATATCCGAGGGGCAAAATGCCTTCATTCGGGATAGGCAGATCATCGAGAATATTCTCCTTGGCCACGAGTTAATGCATTATTTAAAGATCAAAACACGAGGTAAGAAAGGATACATGGCTCTAAAGGTTGACATGGAAAAGGCCTATGATAGAGTCGTCTTTCTCCGGTCCTCGTCTTTCTCTGTGCTTATGAATGGTTCCCCAGCAGGGTACTTCTCACCATCTCGGGGATTGCGTCAAGGGGACCCTTTATCCCCTCTTTTGTTTGTGATATGCACAGAGGGGTTCACGGCTCTCCTCCGCAGGGCGATTGATGGGGGGCGACTGCAGGGCGTGAAGGTGGCGCCAAGGGCCCCCAGAATCTCCCATTTATTTTTTGCTGATGATTCGTACCTTTTATTGAGGGGAACACTCCAAGAGTGTGAGAATCTAATTGTGGTATTAAATGAATATGAGGAATTGAGTGGCCAGCGTGTCAATTTGGATAAATCAGCAGTTTGTTTTAGCAAGAATGTAACACTGCCTGATCAGGACTTTCTGGCTGCGGTTTTGGGGGTGGGGGCGGTGGGTGTCCATGATAAATATTTGGGGTTACCCACCTTGTTTGCCCGGTCCAAGATGGCTACCTTCCGATATTTGGAAGAAAAACTCCTAGAACGCCTCAAAGGTTGGAAGCAGCGGACTTTGTCTTGGGCTGCGAAGGAAACGTTGATCAAATCCATTGCTATGGCGCTACCCTTACATGTAATGTCTTGCTTCAAACTTCCGGTGTCTCTATGCCGTATCTTGGATAAACATGTGGCAAGATTTTGGTGGGGGGTGACGGAGGATCATTCGAAGATTCGATGGGTTTCCTGGCGGAACATGTGCCGGAGTAAACATGAGGGGGGTTTGGGGTTTCGGAGATTCGAGCAATTTAATCAGGCTCTGTTGGCCAAAATCGGTTGGCAAATCATGACTGATCCGCAGTCCCTTCTTGCCCAGGTCTACAAAGGCAAATATTTCCCAACTGGGACCTTTCTTACTGCTACGGCCCGCTCTCGGCCTTCTTGGGGTTGGCAGAGCATTCTCTTCGGCCGCCAGTTGCTAGAAAAGGGGATGCGCTGGCAAATTGGGAACGGCCAGTTGGCTTCCTTGCTTAAATCCAATTGGATCCCTAATTATCAATTTGATCCCATCCAGTCTAATCCGGTAGTGCTGCCAGAGGGAGGGGATCCGAAGGTAGCAGAGCTTATTCGGGCTGGGGAGGGCCGCTGGTGTGACGTTAAACTTAGCCAATGGTTTGATCCCCCTACGTGTAAAGCTATCAAAGCTATTCCCCTTCCGCGGAGGAATGTTGAGGATAAGCTCATCTGGCATGCGACTGAGGATGGGGTGTTCACGGTCAAATCAGCTTATCACCTCGCTGTCACATTGGACAGGAGGAGGGAAGGTTGGAGGTCCACTGTGAGCTGGATGGATAAGGAAAGCTGGATTCGTCTCTGGGAGGCGGATATCCCCCCCAAACTGAAGGTGTTTGTGTGGCAGATCCTTTCTCGAATCCTCCCTACTACGGAGGCTCTCTTAGAGCGAAAGGTCCAGGTACACCCTCGTTGCCCGGTGTGCTGGAAAGGTTCCGAAACACTTGAACATCTGTTTCTTTACTGTCCGGTCGCTCAGGCCCTTTGGGATTGCTCGGGCTTGGCCTACCTGGGGGAGGGACTGCCGCGCCAGACTTTTCCTTTGTTTCTGAAGAAGCTTTTTGCTCTGATTAACCAACCCACGGTGTTTATGGCGGTGGTGGCCATTCTTTGGAGGATTTGGCGGTCTCGGAATTGGGTGGTTTTCGAAGGGAAACAATTTGGAATCCCAGTGCTAATGCGCCAGTTTGTCCAGCAGTATGAGGAATGGGTTCGTTTGCCTAAAGAGCCTGTGGCGTGGCCGATCCAGTCGGACCCGGGGCAGCAGCCCCTGGGTGGCCCTCCCCGGATGGTCTGTAGATGGGATGGAGCTACGAAAAGTGGGTCCCATTCTGCCGGGGGAGTGGTCTTGGTCCGTCCGTTTGGGGAGATTGAGCTGGTTAGAGGGTATCAGTTCCCGGACATAGATAACCCACAGGTGGTGGAGCTTCTTGCGCTCAGGGAGGCTGTGGTCTGGTGTGTCGAGTTAGGCTTCACAGACATGGTGTTTGAAGGGGACGCCAAAGTTATAATCGAGAAGATCAATAGAGGCGACCAGAGTGATAGTCGGATGGGTGCTGTTCTGACAGAGCTAGTGCATTATTTTCGCATCTATTCGTGGTTTAGTATTCGGTTCATAGGTCGGCGTAGTAATAGGGTAGCCCATTTGGTGGCTAGGAAGGCCCTTTCTTTGTACCCTACCATGAGTCGTTTCTTTGACTTTCAGACCTGGCTGCTTTCCAGGGTGTAACTCTTTTTATTGAATCTATATATGATTATCTTTTGTAAAAAAAAAAAAAAAAAAATTCGGAAATACAAGACTTTAGAGTTGAGATTTTAGGGTTCTAACATCGTCTCCTCTATAAAATCAGAGTTTCCATCCCACGAGTAAACCAAAACTACTTGATCTTATCTGAGTGGGAAACGAACATCTCACTCGCCCTCATCGGAGACTTGCCCTCCGTCTCTTTTTCTCTCGTCGCTTCCTTGAGCCGCCCAGACCATCTCTGATGGCCTTTGTCGGCGGCTCTTTGTTGCCGGAGAATGACGGTGCAGGTGTTTCGGTTTTTGGGTTTGCTGTCGAGGGTCGTCAATCCCGCAGTGAAGACTGCCCGCAGGCGGAGCCCATCGTCGATGATAATCTCTCGACTGGGCTATGATGGCGTCGCGAGCTAAATCCCAAACCATTTTAAAATAAAATATAAAGTTCGCGTCTTTTCTGTTTTGCCCCTATAAAGAACTTGGTTTACAAATTTGAATCGAATTAGGGTTATGCAATCACTTGCTAATGGATTTTTGCTTGACTTTGTTTGCTACTCCATTTCATTAAGTTTCGATTTTAACTAACAGAATGGTGATTTGCTATCTGTAGTATATGAAGTTCCTTTTTCCCCTTATATGCCAATGGCGTCTGCAGCTTCTAACTTGGGTAGCAGGGTAGCAGAGCTTAAGAAGAGGCAAAGCAAGCGGATTCTAATAGTCGGAAGTAATTCCGTGGAATGTAATTTGGTGATTGTGAGTCCAAATGAAGGTGTGGTTGGTTTGGCGGTGAGATTTGTAAATAGGTGGATTGTAGCAATATCAGTATTAGGTGAAATCGGAAACTAGATAGTATACTGTTTGTACATGTTTTTTCAAGTGAATGAATGCATGATAATATGTGAGATTTGCCGTTCCTACTTGCTCAGAAGTTAGATTGCAATTCTTCCCTAAAGAATGGAGTGGAGGTTTAATCTACGATCCAGACAAATGAATTGTTTCCCCACTCACTTCAATTAGTTGGAAGAATTGAGGCTTGAATCCACGCTAGTAAAATGCAAGATTTTTCATGCTTGTGTCTGGATGAATGAGTTTGATTAGGTTCTGTACACTCTTGTAGCCTTATGCAGTAACGAACTCTTTGATTGCCCTTGTGTCAATTTCTCTATCCATTTCGGTCATTTGGTGGCTGTTTCCACTCTGATTGCAGTTCCAGTGAGTGAAGAATCTTTAGATTTTGATTATGTGTCAAAAAAGTTACCAGCAAACAATACCCATAAAACAAATAGGCTATCAAGTACAATATATGTCTGTCTTATGTTTCTCATGTCATTTCTTCCGTTGGCGACCAGGGTGAGGCTGGCCAAACTGCCTACCAACAAAAGTCTGCCCAAACCACCAGTTCTTGGGAGCAACATTGAGGGAAGTAACGGTATGCCCATTACTCGTCATAACCTTGAAAGACAACCCTTGTCCTTGCAGGTAACCATTTGTCTGCCAATTCTGGCCCCAGTTCCTTACCATCGGCAGCCACTTCCCTCCATGGTTGGAACCCTTCACTGACATGGCCACAACATCTCCAGAACCACCAACATTCGTCACAAGCACGAGATTGAAGTAAGCATTCCCAGTAATGGTAAACTTGATCCCTCCTTTTCTCTTGCAGGCAATCCTCCTGTACACAACTGGGACTATCCCTGCCTTGTAAACAGCCATGTGCTGGAAGATCGGCTGAGAGAGATCGAAGTGCTTGTTGGGGGCATTGCACCATCCTAACCCTCCACCGGGACAGAAGTTGGTGGCTGTGACGGTGATCGTTTCGTGGAGACACCATTGTGGGTCATGTGTGCATTTCAGCTCGAAGCATGCGCCGCAGGATTTGCCATCATTGAACAGGGCTGCGCTCAAAGCTGCTGTCTTTATGCCATAGCCTTCACTGTACAGGTTCCCGTATCCACAGGCCCCTCCTGTTTAAGAGTTTGTATTTTTAGTTTCACATGAAACTTATCTAATTTGTCGTAGGGAAGGTAAGAGACATTGCCTGATTTCCTAAGTTTTCAGCCATATGGAACTCTATTTAGTATTTACCAAAGGTATGAATCATGAAGAGTCCATGAAATAGAAGCATGTTTGCTTTTTGTTTCCAAACGAGGCTGAGAACTTACCCATTGTGCCGGAGGCATCGCCACCACCGTAAAACGTTGCATGGCCAGTCATCCATTGGCCTAAAGGTTTATGTCTGTAACGATTTTGCCTCGGTTTGTGGATGGGATGGCGAGGGTGAGGGAGTGTAGGAGGAGAATGATGTTGACGATGAGGACTTCCTCCATGTTGATGCGGAGGTGATTTCTTATGATATTTGGGTTTGACATAGTGGCGTTTTGGTTTGTCATCATGATGCCTCTTGCCCTGAACCTCGCCATTACCACCGTAGTAGCCTGATTGCGCGCCAACTGCTTGCGTTAATGCCACAAAAGCTAGTAGTAATGCCAGAGAAGCTCCTCCAACCAAGTTCATCTTGTGGGAACGAACCTGATTGGGGGACAAGGCTTTTCCTATATGATGGAAAGGAGGGAGGAGTTATTTTTGTAGGGGGGATAATGCAGAGTGCAGACAGATAGAGGTAGCTAGAAGACGGACATGGGAAGAAAAAAGGGAAGTGGCGGCGGCGGATCGATGAGGGCTGGCGATGCTAATTGTTGTGCAGTTTGCCGGCCGTCGTTACATGGGTTTGTCAGTGGTAGATGTGTACGCTGTCGTTAAAAGCGAGAGTGGCTTCCAGAGAGAATAAATCCTGTTTTTTGTTGCTTTCGTAATATCTCGTGGTGTGAATAATCCCAAAATGTCATATTGTTCAGATTACTAAATTTTAGTCCATAGAAAAAATTAATATTAATTTTGGTCAATCGAATTATTGAAACATGTCACATTTGGTCACTCTCCTATTATTTTTCATCCAATTCCATTAACGGAGTTGGACGGAGGCTGACAGAGAGTGACTAAATGTGACATGTTTCAGTAATTCGAGTGACATTCATAAAAAAAAAAGCAATTTGAGTGACTTGAGTTAGCCGGAGGCTAACGGGAGAGTGACTAAATGCAACATGTTTTAGTAATTAGAGTGACCAAAATTGATATTCATTTTTTCTAGTGACCAAACATAACGTTATGGTCAATTTCAGATGATACCTATACTGTTTGTACAAATTCTTTTATGGTACAACTTGAACTTGTATCTTTATGTGACTGTACAACTTTAAGTTGTTAAGTTGTAAAGTTGTACCATAACATAAGGGTACAAATTCTTTTATGGTACAACGTGAACTTATACATTTAACGTTATGGTACAACTTCAAATTGTACATTAAAGCAGCAATGCTTTATAACATAGTAGAAGTGCTCTAATGACCCAATCTTTTTATTCTGGTTTAGCTAAAAACATTGATTATACTATTAAACATTTATAAATTACATCAAATATAATCTAACATAACAATATATAAACATCATATTAAACCTCACCCTCGACATCATCAAGAAAAGAGGTCGGCAACTGGCCAATAAATGTGAACTCTGTAAAAAAGAAGAAGAGACAGCAGCACATATTTTCATCCACTGCGAGTTCAGCAAGGAGGTTTGGAGGAGAAGTCAAAGAGTTATGTTCGAGTATTGAGTCACCAACAGATAATGTTCAATCTTCGATCAACAGATGGAAGTCTGACACGCCGGATAATTTTGATGACTGGATCAACTACGGTGCACTCCATGCCATTCTTTGTCAGGTGTGGTGTAACACCCTACCCTATACGTATTACCTAATCATATTGTTCATACAATTGCAGCGGAAATAATCTCGGGTGTTACATTAATTATCAAAATTTACCCAAATAAAATTTCGACATGAATTACTCGCGTAATGGGCTAACAGTTCTTCCATCTAATCCTGCAAAATAATTCATCCGAATCCATGCATTCATAGACAAACATATATACTCACAACCATATACATGGACTTTCATAGCCATTAGTCACAACTTACACGGTTACTCAACATATACACATATCATCAACTTTCCACACCTGTGGATATCTCACACCACATCAGAAGCTAGTATGCACATGAAAAACGTTCTCAAAACATTTTTACAAAAAGGTGTGGATCACTGGCCAAAATCCCGAGTAGTAGTCCAAGCACAGAGTAGTTGAAGACCATACCTCATCTTGCCTTCAACTCTTGCTCAGCTCCCACCTATACACCTATCTACTGCTGCTACTGATGATTTGCTTACACATAGCATAAGCATAGAAGAACAATAAAAAGGGTCATCTCAGCTCCCAATAAGAAAAAGACTCAACCACCTTGACTTATGCATATGCATCTTATCATGTTTTACTTATAGGCGCCTGGCTACTCCCATGCTAATAACTCTCCCGGGAAACATACCCCACATCCCGTCGGATGTAGTCATACATACCCTAACATCCCGTCGGATGTGGTCATACATACCCCACACCACTATTGGTGTAGTCATACCCCGACACCACTCTGAGTGTGGTCATATCTCTTAAGAATTCTTAAGTCACCACCACATGAGAGGTGTGACTATCATACATATAATAATAGAGTAATAGCATAGGGAGCCCTAATTACTATGTAGTTGACCGTGAGACCACAACACTCATATCTGGTATCCTTATACATGATTCATATATCATCTTGCTTAATTATAATTCATTACTTGCACATGTACTTGACCTGGCCATAATTGGCTCAACATAGGTAAATCAGAAGTCGTATAATTGCACTTCCTTGGGATAAACCCTCGTGCAAGTCATCCTCCTTAAACATCATAATATCACCAGGGAATATATATTTTCCCACTTGTGCATCCAAATACAACAATCATGAAAAATCATACCCAATCACCTTTCCGAACCATCATAAGGCATATCAACAGTCAAGTCCACAATTTGCAACATATACAAATCATCAGCATAAACAGGGTCCATCTCGATTAGGGCAAGTCAATAATATCATACAGCAGTCCAGGGTTCATCATATAGCACAAAAGTCCATACACCCCTAATTATGCCATTCTAGTTCACCTAGGTCAATTTTAAGCATCAATATAATTATCGTGATACGACCAACCCGGTATGCCGTGCTAATCCCTCACCAGTTCTGGTCGTTCAAACACCGGTTTAACCTTCCCGTACTAAAACGTCAATTTCAGGAACGAACCCCGAATTAAAATCCGAGATCGTCCTAATATCCCCTGCAGTATCCCCGTCTATATTAGTTATAGGCTCCGGGTCAAATTCTCGATAAAAACACATCAAACCCTGGCCGGAGCTAAATTCAGCGATTTGGACCCCGACCTAAATAATTGCCGAAATTCAGGGACTAGAACTAGAGGATTGATTACCTCGCTGCAGGAAGCTTGTATATGAAATTTGGGCTCAATCCGGCTTCCGGATACTCCGAAACCCTAATTTGGCTTATCGCGATTACGAGAAATTCCTGAACCAAAAACTCGTTTTAAAGCTCTAAATCAATAAACTACGATGTATAGATGAATTAGGCATTACTTACAGGATTTTTGGATCACTTAAGCTCAAGAATTGAGCTCGGAGAATTTTCAGTTCACTCCCCTGCGCGCCCTCTGCTTCTCGGTTTCTCTCTGTCCAGAGAATGAAAAATAATGGACATGGAGGGGTTGGGACGGGATATATATATCCGACCGTCTCATTCACTTTTTAATATATATATATATATATGGCGAGTTCTACAGTACCCCGGGTGAAATCCGGGGTACCGCATACTTTAAGTAAGAAAACGCTATCTAGAACTTGAATTGACTGATCTTTCGGACATTATACTATACTCTAACCCATAAAGATCAAAATCTAGGTCTTAATTCTCTAAATCTTATACCCCAAGAACAATTTAATTAGAAACAATAATCAACGGTTATGATTCGTCCAAATATAGGCAAAAAAAGTAATACACCATCTTAGAGTTTTTAGTTTATGATTTAGATGATTAGGACCTAGGGTTCACTCATTAAGGGTTAGGGTATAGTATCATGCCCAAAAATCCTGCTAATTCGAGGTATAGATAGCTTTTTCATACTCAAGGTATGCGATACCCCGGATTTCACTCGGGGTACCGTAGAAGGCACCATATATATATATAATACGTATACTTATCCGATCGATTGATAATCCAATTTTTGCCGAAATACTATCAAAACGCTCAATTTTAAATCGTGAACTTCCTAGCAATCGAAAATATGGGTTTTGCTGGAACATGATGTTACAATTCTCCCCTCCTTAAAAGATTTCGTCCCCGAAATCTATCCTTGAGTTGATGGTACAAATCCGCTCGTTCCCCTCTAACATACACTATCACAAATCTTGTTACTACCTTACCTTTAGGTTAGGAGATTCATAACATAGAGAGTAACACATAACACCTCAAGTTCCCATGTTTAGGTTTCAAAAACCTATACTGGGCTATCACAACAAAAGCACATCAACAAGTTCAAAACATAACTTATTAGGCAAGATTGTTAACCTGCAAAGTAGGTTGCTACTAACTCAGGGTACTTCTCGCATACTTGCTTCAGTCTCCCAGGTAGCACTCTCACTTTCTTGATTTCTCCAAACCACTTTCAACATTGGGATTTCCTTCCTACGAAGATTCTTAATCTGGTAATCAACAATCTCAACTGGAACCTCTTTCAAATGTCAAATCTGGGCCTAACTCGATCTCATCTGGTTGTATTACATGGGAAGGATCCACTTTGTACCTCTTCAGCATACTAACATGAAATACATTGTGGATTTGGGATAGCTCTGGAGGCAATGCCAGTTTATATGCCACTGGTCCAATCTTCTCTATGATTTCATAAGGTCCAATATATCGAGGTGCAAGCTTTCCTTTCTTACCAAATCTCATCACCCCTTTCCATGGTGACACTTCGAGAAATACTTTCTCACCCACTTCAAAATTAACTTCACGCCTATTCGTGTCAACATAAACTTTCTGCCAATCTTGAGCCACCCTCATACGCTCCCTAATTTCCTTGACCTTGTCAACTGTGATCTGAACTATCTCTGGCCCTGAGATTTGCCTTGCTCCTTCTACATCCCAACATAATGGTGTTCTACACTTCCTCCCATAAAGTGCTTCATATGGTCGAACACCCAAACTACTATGGTACTGATTGTTGTAAGCAAACTCAATCAGGGGCAAATGGTCAATCCATGATTCCTCCCATGGCATTACACATGATCGAAGTAACTCCTCTAAGGTAAGGATGGTTCGTTCACTATGGCCATCTGTTTGAGGATGATAAGCTGAAGTAAAATGCAGTTTAGTTCCCAAGGCATCATGTAAACTTTTCCAAAACCGAGATGTGAAGCTCGGGTCTCGATCAAAGACAATAGAAATTGGCACACCATGCAATCTGACAATCTCCTTAATATATAGTTGAGACAAAGTCTCCAGTGATGGTTTCCATCTAATGGGTAAAAAGTGAGCCGATTTGGTCAGTCGGTCCACAATAACCCATACTACATCTTTTCCCCTTGATGATGGGAGACCATATACAAAATCCATTTTGATTCTTTCCCACTTTCATTCTGGAATTGGAAGTGGTTGCAGTTTTCCCATAGGAGCTTGATGTTCTGCCTTAACTTTCTGACATACCAG